AAAAAAAAACCCAAACACTAAGAACACATAACCTACTCCAGTGGTCAAGGAAAGCTTTGGTTAAAAAGTAATGTTCAATCTGAGATCTGAAGAACGATTAGGAGCCAGCCAAGAGACAGGTGTTTTGGGGGTGGTGGAGGGGTGCAGCAGAGTGTACAGTGTGGGTGAAAACTTGGGACTAAAACAATACCCAGCCCTAGAAACTGTTCAGCACGCCTGGACTATAAAAGAAGGGGGGCAGAGATAAGGCTACAGAAGGAAACGGGGGTCAAGTCACATAAAGTCTCCAGGTAAAGAGAAACCATTAAAGAGTTTTTAGTTGGGATGACAGGATGGGATTTCCAGCTGTCCCTCCCCTATATTAGAGATGAAGACACGATCCCCATTTGTCATATGGCCAATTTTCAGTCTGTAGAGTTTGCTGCCTTGGCATCAGTTAATCGTGCCCCCATGCCCTTTCACTCAGTTTCTGAGATGGCCATTCCTATTTTGTCACACAGCCTCTCTCTCAACAACTGTGGTTACTCTGTGTCCCTCCCAGCCATGCCCCATAAGCTTTCCCTTGAGAAAACTGTTGAGCACGCTGCCTCCACACAGGGCCACACAGAGGGTTGCGCTTGGTGACAAGGAGACTAGCTGGAACTGTAGGAGAGGGCTCGTATGACAATCAGTGTAGGGTCTGGAGGTTAGTGCGTGTACTGGAGTTTTATTGGTCAGTTTAAAAGTTTCTAGTGCCCTGGTATGGCACTGCAGGGCAATCACTGGACTGCCGACCTCAAGGTCAGCAGTTCAAACCCACCAACCACTCTCAGAAACCCTGTACAGGGTCGCTATGAGTCAGAACCAACTTAGTGGCTCAAAATAGCAATGTATTAGGCGGGAGAGGAGAAATTGGCCATGATAGTGAAGATGTGGAAGATGGGACAAAATTGAAAATAATTTAGTTGATAAATCAACAGGATTAGGTTGACAGGCTGTAGAGAGGTGTGAAGAAAAGGAGGTTTCAAAGATAATTTCCAAGTTTTTGTTCTTGGTGAGCAGGTGATGATATTCATTGACAGACATCACAGGAAGAGGTGCACTATCATGCTCAAGTTCAGGGCTTCATTCTTGCTTTCTTAGTTACTGGAGGAGTCTTTGAATAAGCCTTCCTATCTCTAGGTCATTGGTTCTCAAAGTGTAGTCTCCAGATTAGCAGCATCAGTATTATTTGGGAAAGTGTAACAAATGCAAATTCTCAGATTCTATTCCTAACGTTGTTGTTGTAAGGTGCCATTGAGTCTGTACCAACTCATAGTGATCTTATGCA